ATAAGAATAGTTTCAGTGTAAGTTTAGTTCAGTCTGGAAGAGCTTTTCAGTTCCCTATGGGAAAATAGAGCAAATTAGTTCGAGAAAGAGTAACAAAACAAAGAGTGCTTGAGGGACCTAGGAAGGCAGGCAGCAAGATCCTTCAGTTAGCCAGTCTGGCAATTAACTCATCACAAAAAAAGATTTCTGCAGCTTTCCCAGTGACTAACAGACCCTGCCAGCGAGGTCTCTTAAGCTGCAGGGTATGGCAGGTAAGCTCTGAGCATTTCATGGGACATTTCAACCCACGGTCATCACAGGCTTTCTCTGGGCCTTCTCTGATCACTGCTGCCTCAGTGGGAAACAGCAAGAGCTGTGTGCTGGCACGTCAGCTGCTCCAGTTTGTAGCCCAGCATATAATTTCAAATGTGGCTGCTTTGTCAGCAGTTTGCACTAAGAAACTTCTCTGAGGCTGCAGTACACACTCCTTCTGGTCAGCTCCTCTAGTACCATTATAACCTTTCCAAGTACCAGAGCAGTCTTGCTTAGAGGGCTGGAACTTTTGCTTTGTTTCAAGGCTGAAAAAGACCACAGACCACGGAATATTTCTGTTTTCTAAAACATGCAACTAGGGGTCACTGCTTCCTTTTACTGCTTTCTTTGAGTCAACAGCAAAAAAAAAAAAAAAAAAAAAAAGATATCAACAGATCTTACTGGAAGCACATCCACAGTATTTTTTTATGTGGCTACTAAGGATTGATGCCAGAAAGTTGCTGGAAATTAAATGTGTTATTGTCGTAATTAATGCTAAGAACTGCATTTTGACAGTTTTTAGTCTGAAGAACTCTTTTCCTCTGGTGTTTAAGGAGTCTGCTAGTGATCTAACTTATGCATAAGGAAGGATGTGCAAGCCACGGATTGCAAGAGTACTATCCTGCTTAGTCTAGGGAGAGAATACAGATTGTTGTTATTTAATGACAAAGAGGAAAAATCATCTTCCCTGATGCGCTAGTGATGCTGTTCTGTTAGGGTGCTGTTGGACACCTTAGCTTCAAGGGAGCTTTTGCTGTGCTATGACTATTTGTTGTCCACCAGGACCTGAAGTCATTCTCAGTAGGGCTGCCTTCCATCTGGTTGCTCCCCAGCCTCTCCTGGTGCATGCATTCCACCCCTGGTGAAGGACTCTGCATTTCCCTTTGTTGAACTTGAGGAGATTTTGATGGCCCATTCCTGCAGCCTGCCCAGGACTCTAGAAACAGACCTACAGTTATAAGCCAGGCCTAAGAAACTGACAGACTTTCTTCTTCTAGATAGAATAAAGCTAAGAAAGTTGATGGAAGTGTGTATGGGGTAAGCAGAGAAAAACGGGTTGTTCATGTTCATGACACTCCTTATTCTGAGCATTTAGAGCCTTAGTTGTGCTGTTCTAAGCATTGCTTTTTGATTATGTAATGCTTAAGGGTTGTTTCTGTTTTTGGAGTGGGTAGACAAAAACTTTACACTGTTTGAAAAGTCAGAAAGGGCCACGAAAGCAAATCTCATATAAAAATGCAGTCTGTGATTTTCTTTTTTTTTTTCTAGAAAATTGTAAATAACCGTAGCGATATTTGTTCTGCATTTGCACAGCTATGCATAAAAAGCTCACTGGGACCACTCACATCATTTTCAGTCATTACCATAGCCAGTGGCAGAGAGTAACTGAAACGTGCATGCTTTGTAACATCTTCAAATGTAGGCATCCGTAAACTGAGATTCTCTTTTGGAAAGCTGGTACATGATTAAAACATGGTTGTTGGAATGTCTCTGACTGCTTTAAAGTAATCTAAAGGCTTGTATAATGGATTAAAAAGATTCCTTTTGTGTTTGAACAAATACAGATGGTGTTGAAGAGCATTTTCCTGACTGCTCTAGACTGCAATAAACAAGAGAGAAACAGGTAATGCTGCTGAAGGACGGTGAAGAGAGGAAGATCAGCTACCAAGCCATATGATGTGAGTGTCAGATTAAATGAAGGCACACGTGATAGAGATGTCTACCACAGACCTTGCTTTCTCTATCATTTATATGAGGAAAATGGTACTTCTAAGGTACACTTTGATGTCTTTCAGGAATCCATTTAAGAAAAACTTGGGGGTCTGAGAAGAACTTGTGGGTCCTGGTAGACAAGAAGCTGGACACGAGCCAGCAGTGTGCGCCTGCAGCCCGGAAGGCCAGCTGTGTTCTGGGCTGCATTAAAAAGGGGTGGCCAGCAGGGAGAGGGAGGTGATCATCCCCCTTGTTTGTCCCCCTCTGCTCATCTCTTGTGAGGCCCCATCTGCAGCGCTGCGTCCAGGGCCCCCAGTACAGGAAAGATGTGGAGCTCTTGGAGCAGGAGCAGCTCTCCTGTGAGGAAAGGTTGAGGGAACTGGGCTTGTTTAGCTTGGAGAAGAGAAGACTCCAGGGAGACCTCATTGTGGCCTTCCAGCACTTGAAGGGAGTGTATAAACAGGAGGGGGGAGCCTCGCTGTTTGTGAGGGTGAATGGTGATAAGACAAGGGGGAATGGTCTTAAACTGAGAAGGGGAGGCTTAGGTTGGATATTAGGAGGAAGTTTTTCACTCAGAGGGTGGTGAGGCACTGGAGCAGGTTGCCCAAGGAGGCTGTGGATGCCCCATCTCTGGAGGCATGGATGTGGCTCTGGTGGTTGGCAACCCTGCACACAGCAAGGGCTTGGAACAAGATGAGCATTGTGGTCCTTTTCAACCCAGGCCATTCTATGATTTTATGATATGAAAAGACCCTTGCTCACTTCACTATGCTTGCTATACAGGGAATCCAGAATGGTAACAGCAGAAGTAAATTCCCATCCTGTAGATGTAGATATGCAGGAACTGAAGTTAGATTAATCTATTATGTAACCACAGACAAGCCAATTACTAACTATCTCAGGCTAGGGCCACATTCTAAAATTTTGCCTGTGTTAATGACAGGAAGCAGTACTTTACTGCTCCTGGACACAGGGGCCTGGGCACCCTGCTCTGGCTGGCACCAAAGGTGCAGTGGTTGGACCAGATGGACCAGAGGTTCTTCCAACCTCAGACAGTCTGTGATTCTGTGACAAATACGTTCTGGTTGTGTCCTCAACTAAATTACCACCAACTTTGCCATGTATGTGCAATTCTGAAGTGTAAGAAAACTTGCGAAGTTTACTGACAGTTCTTGCTGTTAAAGAAGATGCCTTAGATGTATCAGTGAGATCCTTTGTGCTGGTACACACTGTGCATAGCACTGTGCTTTCTGTAGAAAAACTTGGATGTCAACACCTTTGCAGAACTAATACAATGATAAATAAGCTCATGTTAACATTCCGTGAAGCACAAGGTGCTTTTGTAGAACTAAAGAACTTCAGCAATGAGGGTATTTTCTGGGATAGAAGTTATAACTGAGACCACAGTGGTCTCAACAGTAGTTTTTGCAACCAGCGCGGCCTTTCATAGTGTTCTCTTTTACCCATCAGTACTTGAGCACAAGTCTTACAAGGAGCAGCTGAGGGAGCTGGGATTGTTCAGTGTGGAGAAGAGGAGGCTCAGGGCAGAACTCATTGCACTCTGCAACCTCCTGAAGGGAGGCTGAGATGAGGAGGGGTTTGACCTCTTCTCCCCGGCAACAAACAGGACCCAAGGAAATGGCCACAGGTTGTACCAGAGGAAGTTTAGGTTAGACATAACTTTTTCTCTCAGATGGTGGTCAGGCACTGCAATGGCTGCACAGGGAGGTGGTGGAGTCGCCGTTCCCGGCAGTGTTCAAGAGGCGCCTGGATGAGGAGCAGGAGATGATGCTTAGTGCTTGTGGTGGCAATGGTGATGGGAGGGCAGTTAGATTAGGTGATCTTGCGGGTCGTTTCCAACCTTGTGATTCCATGATTCTATGATTCTATAAAAAAACTTAATGTAATGTCATGAAGTTTTGCAGTCCCATGTTTGTTCTCTTAAGTTATGAATTATTCCATGCTTGTGACTTTAAGCTGTAGAATTTCAGACATGCTTATGTGTGGGGGTAATAAAGAGATTTGTTTCAAGGCTAGTGCTTTTGGCTTTTTTGTCCTTTCAGTGTGGCTCGGTTATTTTACTGTCATTGCAAGTTTCAAGCTTACTGCCAGGCGCATGCTATGTTCAGGGCAGGGCTTCATGCTGCTTTATTCACATCTTATTCACGACACTTATGATGTTTTACCCCCCTGAAGTAACTGCTGTGCATTCTATGCCAGAATGTTCTAGATTCTATCAGCAGGATGCTCCATCCCTGGAGACCTTCAAGGCCAGGCTGGATCAGGCCCTAGGCAACCTGATGGAGCTGTGGCATCCCTGTGCACTGCAGGGGAGATGGACGAGATGGCCCCCAGAGCCCCCTTCCAACTCAAAGGTTCTATGAATTCTCTTCTAGATCTTTATGGAGCTGAGTTTTGTCAAGGAAGAAAGAGCCAATTCCCTTCATATCCCCTATTCCCTTAATTCCCCAATTCCCTTAAAACACCAGTACCCAAGACACAGCCTGATGTTAGTGAGGGATATTACATAACTGTTATTATTATTACAGCACTTCCTTCTCAGCCAACACTTATCAAGAACACAAAGGATATTTTAGTTCTTCCAACATTCATCTCAGAAACACTTCTCCACCACACCAACTCAGCAGCGTCTACGCCTCGCCTAATGGGGAATGTACCTTTCCCAGCTAGCACGCACAGCTCTAACCACCTATCCCCACAGAACTGCAGAAGGCATCACCCCCCGCCCTACGCCTCGTCAGGCGAAGAAGAATGCGGAAGCGGAGGCGCGGCCGCCAGGAAGCCCCGCCCACTCTCCAGGAAGCCCCGCCCACCCCTCCCGGAAGCTCCGCCCACCCCTCCCGGAAAGCCCCGCCCACCCCTCCCGGAAGCTCCGCCAGGAGGCCCACATGCCGTGCCCTTGGCTCCGCCCCCTCGCTCGGCCAATCGCGTGGCGCCCTGTTGGCGGCGCGCGCCGTCCCGCAGCACGGTGCAAGATGGCGGCATGCGCGCAGCGAGGCGGGCTGGCGGCAGCTTTGGTGGCCGGGCTGCTGCTGGCCTTCGGGCGGGCGGCGGTGGCGGCGGCGGCGGAGGGCTCGGCGGGGCCGCACCGCCGCTTCGAGTACAAGTACAGCTTCAAAGGGCCGCACCTGGTGCAGGCGGACGGCACAGTGCCGTTCTGGGCGCACACGGGCAGTAAGTGGCGGGGGAGCGGGCTGCGGGCGGCGCGGGGCCGTGCGGCGGCGTGCGGCGGCGTGCGGCGGCGTGTGGCGGCGTGTGGCGGCGTGTGGCGGCGGTCCCCCCTCCCGGCGGCGGTGCGGAGCCCCGGTCCGTCCCCGTGCGCGGTGCTGATGTGTCACTGCGGGCGGAGGGGGCTGCCCCTGCAGCGCTGCAGGGCGCGCAGCTCGGCCCCGTTTTGCTGTCTCTGAAGTCGTTTTGTCTGCTTTTTTTGTTTGTTTCTTTTTTTTTTTCCCCTTTATTTTTGTGAAGTTGATCCGGGCCCGCTCCCTGGGTGCTGGGATGTGGCTCACAGTTATGTGGCGTTGTGCTACACGTGTCAAAAGGGCAGCGCTCTGGGGATGAACAGAGGGGGGGGAGGCCGTCTGTTTGTGTGGAGAAAACAGTGATTTGTGTAAAAAACAGCAAAAAATGCCACACGTCCTAGCAAAAAACTTTAAACAAAATCTGTGTTCGTATTTTAGCCATCTGATGAACCTTCTCTTTCAAGTGCGTGTTGTTGTACCAAACAAATGGTGAAAAAACGCTTTGAAAAGCAGTAATAATTACCCTGCTAAAAGTAACAATCCTTTGTGTTTTCATGTTTTGTTGCTTTTAGGTTCATTTTTCTTTTCCTCCCTAACTGAGTGTTTACCTAAAATGTTTGTTCCTTTCCTTTCCAGATGCTATACCGAGCGCCGATCAGATTCGTATAACAACGTCTTTGAAGAGCCAGAAGGGATCGGTGTGGACCAAAAACAAGTCAATATTTGAATATTGGGAAGTCGAAGTGACCTTTCGAGTTACAGGCAGAGGCCGCATTGGAGCCGATGGGCTGGTATTGAGTTTGATCTGATGTAAGAAAGAGGCTTACTCAAAAAAGTGGCTGTAGGCTTACAGTTTTTCCTTCCTTTCTGTAACAGGCAATCTGGTTTACAGAGGAGCAAGGCATGGAAGGTCCCGTGTTTGGGGCAGCTGACAAGTGGAATGGTGTTGGGATTTTCTTTGATTCCTTTGACAATGATGGAAAGGTTGGTTGGAAGCAAACTCTTCTAGTAAACATAAATTTCCTGCTTGTTTGGCACTCAAGGCTTTGTAGAAAAAAATAGCACGTCACTTTCCTATTTCCCCCCACCTCTTACTTAAAGGGCTGCATTAAAACAATCATATTTCTCTAATACAATTTAATCTAGACCTTTTCCATATGCTCTTTTGTGGAAGGTTGAGGAGTGGGGAAGGGGTTCAGGCTAGAAAGCAGAAGCGTAACTCATAACTAGACTACCAAGTTTTGGTTCATCTGTTAGCTTTGGAGGGAAAATGATTTGAACACACGTAGAAGCTGAAGTAGGGGATTTCCATAGGCAGCTCAAAATGCTGATAAATCTGAAGATTTATGCTTTGGAAGCAGTGTATTGTACAAAATATGCTATAGGGAAACACATTTCCATGTCTTTCCTTGGAAATGCTCTTGGAACAAATCTGACTTGAGTGGTTAACAGCAAAAAGTCAGTGGCAATGAGGATGGCATTGCTTTGCATTTTTCCTACCCAAAATTCGGTAGCCTTGCTGTATCTACCTGCTTTTGGTGCTCCAGAATGATTTGAAGATCCTCAGAAATAAAACAGTTTATCTGCTTTGCTTTCTTCTGTTACTACTTTGTCTTTTTTTTTCCTCAGTGTCCTAGCTCTGTTTTTGTAGGTATAACAATTTAGGGTGTTCTGCTTGTTTTTTTTTTTTTTTGTACAGATGTGTTTTAAAATACAGTCAACATATATAGAAGTTGACAGGCTGAGGGTGGCATTCATATTTCCCATCTTAAGAAGACTAGAAATGGAATGTTCTTCTACCTACTAAGAGTTTTGAAATACTTTCTTTTTTTTTTTCCCCCCCTCTTCTGACTTCTGTCAGGGACACGGACCCCAGCATTGGCTGGGTAAAGGTGCCATCTGTCCAAAGCTGCATGTAAACAGTGCTGTTGGCCAGGACTTCAGAACTGTGTCTCCAATCATGAGTTTAGTCTGTGTGATATGAATTTATCTGTTTTTAAGAAAATGATGACAACCAGCTGAAAGAAAAGCCTTTGCTGTGCCTGTGTTGATCTGACACATCTTAAATCCTGGAGTTGTGAGAGTTGGTGTTTGTTTTGTTGTTTTTTTTTAAATGATAGCCTACTGCTTTCTTCCAACTCTGTGCAGAAATTAATTCTTCTTGGTACTGTTCTGAATTGATACAGAACTACTATTGTTGTACTGAAGCTAACTGTAAGAAGATGACATTGAAGTATTTAGATTGTACAGAGTGTGTAATACTGATTTGAAGCAATCTATCTAACCAGGCACAGTGGCTGAGGAGTAAAAACTGATGTATTCCTTGGTGTTGGTTGCAGTTCTGTTATTGCCACAATATACATGGTGAAGTAAAGCAGTCGCTTACTTTAGCTGTGCTGATTTCTTATGGGATTAAAGGACCACCCTGCCCCACGCTGTGAATTGAGCATCAGGTTTTTCTTGAACTCCTGAGAGGCAAGGCTTGTCATCTTTTCTATAGGACTATGAGACTGTCCAGTTGGACAGTATATTCCTTATGGAGACGGTGAATGGAAACGCTGAAGGGGAGATTATCTCTGTAATCTTGTGTTCCTATGAAAAGAAGAGTTAGCTTTCTAAACTCAACTGGCAGAACACTAAATCTGTTTTGCTCTTACTTCAGCTTGTTCTCATTTTTCTGTCGGTCTGAATAACCAGGGATGTGTTTGGCAGATGGCTCAGTCTCTGGCAGATAGCTACTGCTGTGGTCTTTGTAATGACTTGTGAGGTCAGAGGGATGCCAGCTGTCTTTCCAAGTTACATAGCCAGAGTCAGATGTCATAATCATCTGTGCTTTTTAAAATCAGTGCCTTTGCTACATACACCTTTCTTCTACCTGCGGGTTTTACATTTGTGTTTGTGAAATGATGCTGATTGGTTGGATAGCCAAGAACCTTTTTTTCCCCACTCCCAGCAGCACGAAGAGTGTGGCAGCCTCTTGTAAAGTGTGCAGTGTGACACACGACCTCAGACATTGAAAAAGCCTGTCACTGGGGTTGTACATATTTCACTTTGAATTAACCTGTTTCATTTATGTGATAGCTGTTGTTTTTTTTGTTTATTTTTTAGAAAAACAATCCTGGTGTCGTTGTTGTGGGCAACGATGGAAAGCTTCTGTATGACCACCAGAAGTAAGTTTGTTTTGTTTTCAGCCTTGACTTCGTCATGAATCTTTTCTTTTGGATGATGAGATGTTGCATGGAAGTCTTTGAGAAATGCTTTTAAGGTTTCTTTTATTATGAAACTTCTTTTCCCATCCCTCATCCTATGTTTGGGTTTTTCTGTTTGTTAAAATGCTGTTTTGGCAGTAAGAGCACAGGAACAGGCAGTGGATATTGAAGTGGGCTTGGGGATGGGTGAGCTCGAATGAGTGGATGTACAGACTTTTTACCTCTTTATTGCTAATAGATGTGTTCCACACACGGCTAGTAACTGAAAGGAGTGACTAGCTGGAAACTAATCTCTCATAAATTGATGTATTTGGTTTTGATTTGTGGTGGTTTCTGGTAAAATTAACATATTTTTGGGTTTTCTGAGAAGAGAACTATTTAGCTTAACTACGGTTGTTCCAGACTATAATTAATTGATGAACGTGGGAATGACTTAAAGCAAACAGACTTCCCCATTACTGTTTTCCATCTGTGCTATTCTGTGTAAAATATGTAGCAACACTCAGCCCAGAGTTAAGTCACCACAATGGAAACATATTTTGTTATGGCTTTTATGTTTTGAAAAAAGTGTGATGGTTCTTAGTGATACGTTGATGCTCTTTTGCATTAGCTGATAAGTCATAAGATACAGTCTTATGCAAGTTGTCTTCTTGCATAGCGATGGCTCCACACAAGCATTGGCCTCCTGTCAGAGGGACTTTCGTAATAAGCCCTATCCTGTTCGAGCAAAAATCACCTACTACCAAAAAACACTGACTGTAAGTACTCTGAAATAACACAATTACTCCTGTTGCTCAGCTTTTTAAGTGTGAGGTGGTTGCTGTTTTTTCCAACACCTCCCCACCTCCTGTGTTAAATGTTGAGCTTAGTAACTCAGGAGCTGGAATGAGGTGCCCTGCGTTCAAGTACTGCACGAGTTCTTACAGTGCATCCTGAGCTGACTCAGCAGCTATTGCTGATTTTTGTGGTGTTTCTTAGAGGTCAGTTCCAGTCGTGTCCTACCTGCCCCAAATCCCAAAGCCAGCATATGTGCCTCATCTTCCAAGTGGTCGAGCAGCTGTTGAATTTGGACAGCGTTGCTCAAGCTGATTGTTGAGCTGCGGAGGGTTTTCCAGCTGATTGTTGAAGGTTATTGAAAAGCAATTAATTAGAAAAAAGCTCTTTGGCAGCACACTTAAATTTGCTGCTTAAGGCTTCCTGTCTCCAAGAAGTGGCACGTCTTAGAATGTTGAAGAAGACATTGGTGTAAGGAAGTGCTCAAGACTTAAGTGCTACTCAGATGGTTGTAGCACCTCCCAAGTAAGGAGAGAAAAATACAGGTGTGCTGGTTTCAGGCAGCCACGAAGAAGTTGTTTTTTCTTTCTTCTGGTTTCTGTGAAGAAGTTACCATTGTAGTTCAGGCACTATTTGTACTATTAGCCAGTTAAAGCACGCATCTGTCATTTGGTAAAAGTTTCTCCACAAAATAAACATGAGGGCACCTAGAGGAAAGTGGACCTTGTACTGTGTGGTAATGTTAAAGGCTATGCATTCATCTTGAGTGGAAATTAAATTTCTGATGCAGCTCTCTTCTTTAATGTGCCTGATTCCTAATGCTTTACCTAGAACTCCTGACCCAAGTGGTGCTGCTAACCTTATCAGTTCTGCAAGTGAATCTGTGGAGAAAAAGAGAATCTCTCTAAGCTTCGATGAACTGAAGAACAAATAAGGGTGACTCTACTGGACTGCACCAAATATGTGTTGCCCAGAATCATAATGGGATTTGTACTTGAGAGTCTAACCTTTATTGATCTCTAGGTCAGGAATTTCAGGAGGTAGAGTTAATATTTTTAGATCTGGATGAATATTTCCATATATTAATTTGTTCTGCTGCTTCTTGTAACTGAGATGAATATATTTAAATATAAAAATGATTTCTGTGCAGTATGTCCTCAGGAGTGATGAACAGAAAATGAGGAATTCTGTTCACGTTGAACTTTGAATCAGCTTATGAGTTTCCCCAGTGGAAACTTCAGAGATTAAGTAGTCTTTGGATTCTGGTATCAGCTACAGGATTATCTGATGAGTTGCAACTGTGACCATTGCTATAAACTAACAACCAAATGCAGATACTGCTCAAGCAAAACTGCTGGCACAAGTAGATTTTTGTGGTTAATAACTGTAGGTGTGTTTCTTTGTAGGTATTAATTAACAATGGATTTACTCCAGATAAGGAAGATTATGAATTTTGTGCTAAAGTGGAAGACATGGTGTTGCCATCACAAGGATATTTTGGAATATCCGCAGCAACGGGGGGACTTGCAGGTAGTGAATGTAAAGCATTATGGCAGACAGTATGGAGACTAGCAAGGCTTACAGGAGAGCATTTATTCTACTGCTAGCATTGATCAGTTATGCCAGTTTTGGATCGTGGTAGAGTAACTAATGTAACTAATGTAACTAAAGTAACACTGCTGGGTGAACTTTTGGGAGGACTGTGGGAGGATACTTTCAGCTGAAGATCCTTTGCAAGTACAAGGTTGACCTGGGAAGTTGCAGGATGTTTCATGATGCATGAGAGGATCAGTTCACAGCATTGATTTTTGATTTTGTTTTATCCAGATGACCATGATGTCCTGTCTTTCCTGACCTTCCAGTTGACTGAGCCTGGGAAGGAAGTAGTAAGTGTTTTTGTGCATAATTTGTAAAATGTTCTAGTGTATTTTATATTTAATCCTCAGATCTTAGCATTTGCTCTGTAGTCATATGTGGAATTTTTGTGTGTAGCTCTGCTGTTGCCCATTTTGGAAAAAATCAGATAAATACTGCAATGTTTCAGTAGCATTTTACTTATGCTTGAGACCAGAACTCTTGAAACAGCACTGAATGAACAAAAATAGTGATACTAAAACAAAACATGCAAATAAACTAAAAAAAAGGACACCGTCTTCGGAATGTGGACAGATAATCTGGTTTTGCTTTCAATTTCCCATTCCTGTAGAACACTTCTCTACTGTTAACAGCATCTGTCCTTGTAAAAGTCCTTGATTGTGATTCTAGAAAGTGTACTTTTTAGGAAAAAGCTAGGTTTTTCCATGGGTTTGTCTGGTTCCTCACTTCAACTTTAGTGTGCTTCATTAATTGTGCCGTGTCATCAAACCTGAAGTCTAGACAGTGTTTGCTGCACAATGAGTCATGTATGGGTGGTAGAGAGCATTAAAATCCTCTTCTCCCTACTTTCTTCTTACTTTGGTAATGTATTAAAGCCCACATCAGATGCAGAAATTCCTGAAAAAGATAAGGAGAAGTATCAAGAAGAATTTGAACACTTTCAACAAGAATTGGATAAAAAGAAAGAAGAGTTTCAAAAGGAGCATCCTGATGTGCAGGGACAACCAGGCAAGTTATTTGAGCAGCTTTTCAGTTGTCAAGGAAAATGTTTGCTTCCAGGGATGTTCCGAACACAAGCCTGATGCTGTGGTGCACTGACAGAATGAGCTGATTGCAGGGAGTGTTGGGATAGCCCTTTTTTGCATGCTGGTAACATGCACCTGCAACTCTCAGCAAGTATTGGTTTGGAGAGTTTCTCCACTGATTTCACATGGAAACTTTTAACACTACAAGGGTGACACAGTAAATTAGAAATGCGTGTGTGTAACAGCTACCTGTGCTTTGTTTTTTCCTGCCAGCTGATGATCCTTTCGAAAGTGTAAGCGATCGTGAGCTCAGGCAAATCTTTGAAGGGCAGAATCGAATTCATCTCGAAATCAAACAGCTCAATAGGCAGTTGGACATGATTCTTGATGAGCAGAGGAGATATGTTTCTGCAGTCACGGAGGAGATTGCTAAAAGAGGAGCAGCTGTTTCAGGTCAGCAAGGACAGGTATGTTCAAAATACACACTGCAGTTGGCAGCTCAGCCTAACTTCAGAAAGCACAATTACTTTTTCCAAGGTACATTGATTTGTTTTTCTCACCATTCCCTCCTCACTCTACACCAGGTTTCCCAGCAGGAGATTGATACAGTTGTGAAAACTCAAGAGGAGGTCATTAAACAAGTAAATGAAATGAAGTGAGTGCTTTCTAAATATGTTCTGAATTTTACACCTCCCACTTCCTAAATGATATTTATTGTTTCAGTAGGAGAATATTGACGGAACTCAAATTTCTGTACGTTAACTCCTTAGTGGTGACTGTTTCCATTTCTGTGATAAATACAAAGTAAGTTTGTATCTGTAAGGTGATTTAGTCTCCCTAATGGGCTTCAATTTATCGTGAGATTTCACTGCAATGACAAGGTGAGTACAGTGCCTTTGAAGACAATCTCTTCCCATGGAATGGCTAGTTTGGTAACCTGCCAGTCACTGTTGGTGCGCCTTAGGGGTCAATAGTGGAGCCCGTCCTCTTCAGGCATCTTTATTAATGACACAGGCAGTAGGGCTGGGTGCATGCTCAGAAATTTTACAGGTCACTCATATCTGGAATGGTTGTGCAGTTGGTTGGTTCAGTGGCTGGTTCAGTAGGACCTAGAGTTGTGAGATTCCAGAAGGATTTCATGAGATTCCCTCTGGATCCTCATGAGATTCAACATGGGCAAGTGTGAGGGCTACTCCAGAAGTCCCCAAAACCACCTCCTGTGTAATGATATTGGCCCATGAGGTCAGAGGTGGATAGTGATTCTCTGGCAGTAGAGGTTGAAGCTTCCTTCCTGTACTCTGTTACGTGTTGTCGCCTCACAACAGATGGCAGCAGAGGGGCAGTGCGACAGAATGGCATCTGACTTGGAGGTGTGTTTGGAGCTAAGGTATGGCACTGAATTCTTCCATTCAGGAAAAAAGGCACCCACTGACTTTGGTTAGTGGTTGCTGAATGTTTATGGAAACCAAGGAGTGAATGTTAGCATAGTAAGATGGTAGGTGGTGTGTTTCAGCAGTAGCAATCGTGGCTTGCTTCCTCTGGTTCAGATTTTTATGGGCACAGTATGTGGGCTCTTGTTTACTGCTACCAAAAATGCAGAGCTAATGATAGCGATCATGTTGGAGAAGTGTTTTGCGGTTCTAGAATTTACTGTATCGAATGGTGTCGTTATGCTCTTTGTATCTGTTGTACTTTCTCTGGAAAGAGATAGGAATCATTACTTTTGAAGTCACCTTCTTTACAAAGTCCTGCAGCTGTGAAGCAGTAACTCTGCCCATTGGTACAGGCAGGGAACTGATCAGCTGGAACGCAGCTTTACAGAGATGAACATGACTGCTGGGGGACAGGAAGCTGAATGTGGAACAGCAATATGCCCATATGGCGAAGGCCACCAGCTGGGCTGCACCCTGGGCTGCATTAGAGCATTGCTAGTGACCCAAGGGAGATAGTTGTATTTACTCAGCACAAGTGGTACCAGTCTGGAGTCCTGGGTGCTGGGAGAGTCTGTAGTACAAGGCAGATATGGGCTTGCTGGAGGTTGTCCAATGAATGACCATGAAAATGGTTAAGGGTTTGAATCTGTCGTACAAAGAAAAGTGAGAGGCTGGGATTGTAAAGCCTGGAGAGAAGGGGGGATGTTACCAATGGGTATAAATACCTGAGTTTGACATTGGTGGAGGTAATAGTTTGAAACTCAGCTGTGATGAAAGTGCATGTTCTTTATATACGGGGTACATGGTGTCATTTGAAGGTATTTTGGATATTCTAATGGTTTAAATATTTATGTTCTAGTGCCTTTCATCTGATAAATCAATATCCTTTGCTACAGAAGGCGGCAGCATCCGATGCACAGACTGAGATGTTTTGTTTGTGTTTCCTACGATCTAAATCGTTCATTACAAGTTCTCATATCACTTATATACCTTCACAAGTTTTCTTTTTCTAGCTTTCCCATCCCACCCCTACAACTTTCCCATCCACTTTTACACGCCAGCAGAGCATTCCACAAACACTCTTCAACTGTTCATGCAGGCGCTTATCCAGTCAGAGCCGTGAGAGGTTCTTTCTTCTTCTAGAGGTGTCCTTGGTTCTCATGCTGTTTATCTTCCCCCACAGCTGTTGTTCTGAACAGTTTTTCTTGCATTCCCACAGAAGGCTATCACAGTAAGAGAGAAAGCGACAGTTGGAGATGTTGACATGCCTGGTTGGGTACATTTGTGTGAGAGTTTTGTGGGGCTGGTCTGACTCAAACATTAAGACTCTCGGCTTTGTGTTGGTCTTGCTTTGTCTTTAATCAGGGACTCGTTTCATTTAATGCTCTCAAGAAACTTCTGCAGGTGTCTACAGGGATGCTTGCAACGTTCCCAAACAACTCATAGTTGTGCTCTTTGAGGTGAAGTCTTAAAACTGATGGAGAAGTATGCTTTTCAAACAGAGTTACCAAATGAAGCAAAAGTCTTTGTCTTGAAGGTGCTGTACTGTTAAAATGGATTTGAGAAAGTTCCTGTTTGGTGGTGATATTTTATATACTGCTTCCAAGATGTTTAATGGTTGCTGTCGTTAGCTGCGATGGCTTTGAGTTGGTTTAATACTTCATTCACAGTAGTGAATGAATATAATGAAACATTTATTATCTTCAGCTTTAAAAAAAAAAAAAAAATCCTAAAAAATCCCAAACAGAAGCCATTCCAACAGCTGGATATTATGGTGCACAAGCAACTGTGGGTTTTTTGTTTTGCTTTGTTGCTTTTGTCGTCGTCGTCATTGTTGCTTTTTCCAGTATTAGTTCAAGGGCAGATCTTGTAATTCATCTAAGTAGGTCAGCTTCTTGTAGAATAAAGATTAGTGCTTCCATTTTTTTTTTTTTTTTTTTGCACTTGTTCTTCCATGAAAGCTTTTGTTAATATTCTTGACAAATCTTTATACCTTGCAAGCAAATTAGATTTTCTTGTTAACATTGGCAGTCTGCCCTTTCAGTGACTGCTTACTAGGTATGAGTTGGTGTAACTCCATCTTAATATTTTTCTTAGATTAAAAAGGAAAAAAAAAGAATGTTACAGATGGAAATGAACAGCCTGCTGTTCCACTGCTGGTCATCCCAGAGGAAAAGGACTTAAGGTCCAAGTAATTCTCTTGTCAAGATTTGTGGATTTCTTAATCATCTGATTACAGAAGAATCTTGTACGTTCGTACAGTGGAAACTTAACAGCATGATATTGTCAATGCCAGAGTCACGCAAATTAAATTTGAGGCAGGCCGTGTCTGTTTAGGGAAGTTATTTTGCTTGATCAGAGGAAGTGGATCATCCTGGGGGAAGGCGGCGGTGCCTGGCGGTGCTCGCTGCACAGGGTGCTGGTGCTGGGATGGAGGTGTCCTCATGTCCTCAGCCGCTCCGCTTCTGTTTTAGCACGGAGAGCAGCGGCTGGGGGTAACAGCGCTGTGGATGCGGATGGACAGAGCTGCTGTCAGCATTAATTAGACAGTGTTGGTGTTGGGGTTTGCGTGGGTCGTTCAAGGAGTTGCCCATGGAGTATTTCTAAAATCAGTTGTTACAGCACTCATTCGCAGCACTGGTAAATGTTAACCGATCGGCTTTAACCCGTACAGTAATATAAGAATGTGAAATAATTCCTGAGCTATATGCTAATGCTACCCAGGCTGTGTTAAATTAATTCATGGCAGATTTCTTTTTTTTCTGCATTCGTTTTGTCTGTGTAAGTAGTACTAATTCAAAGCTGGACATGTAGAATTAGAGCAAGTGAAGGATGCTTCGCCTGGTTCTGTTTGCAGTGGCATGTAGAAGCAAGCAGCTGCTTTTGTTAAACCTCCTGATAACTTTTCTAATATTGTTACAAAGCTATTAAGGTAAACACAGAGTTTTCCATAAATCTCAGTGTCTGCAGTGCAGCACTTTACCTGGAATTAACAGAAATAAAACTGGGAAACTTTTTTTTCTCCTGATATGCTGGAATCGCAGAATCACACAGAATCACAGAATGGCCAGGGCTGGAAGGGACCTCAAGGATCACGAATCTCCAACCCCTGCCACGTGCAGGGCCACCAACCTCCACGTTTAATGCTGAACCAGGCTGCCCAGGGCCCATATGCTGGAAGTGGGATTGAGTTTTCAGAAGTGTGACAAGGATGAGAGAATTTGTAGGACATCACTGGAAGTGAGGAGAGATTTTTGTTGTTAACATGGGAAGTGTGCAGGGTACTGATATTATAGTGTAGATTAAATCAGCATGCAACTCTGATTTAGTCTGTAGCTACAGGTAATTAGGCAGTGTGCCTAATTACTGCTTCTATCACGGTGAGACTGCAGTTGTAAACTAATAAGCATGTCTATGCTTACAGTTTTTAGAGCTGTAACAGTGCCTTTGAATATGCATCATACCTTTTAAAGGTTTTTTTTATGATTGTTTTCAATTATTCCTTTTGATTCTGTGTCTTGAAGAGCAAATGATGGAAAGTTGAAAGATGGGTGTCATTTTAATGAAGATGCTTAATGAAACAGGCTTTGGTGCTTAACCTGGAGTTTTCCATCAAATACAAACTGCTTAAAGTCACTATAACATATAATAGCACTTAAGATGATGCACTGTTACTGATTTACCCAATGACATTCAGGTTTTGTTTAATATTAAATTGCTGACTGCTGCTCAGGGAGACAGGACTTCACCTCGAAGTCATCCAAACAAGCTCTCATCTGCACAAAAATGTAAAGTTATAAGTGAATTAAAAAGGAATCCAAAGACATACATTTGGATCCGTTATTCTGTTAATAATGGAGAGATTAATGTTCACATGATAAATATTTTAGCTGTAGAATAATCCTCTTTGCAACTGAAAAGAGACATCACAGCCGGCAAAACAAACTATAAGTGTATTGATTAGAGATTTAGTATTTTTCTCTCATTGATTAGTTTTGCTTGAGGTAAAGTAGGTATGGAGCCCGAACTTTTTAGGGATTCAATCTGATTTGTTGTAGCAGGAAAATTAATTCACGTGAGGGCAACATTAAGTATGATGGCAGTGCGTATGGGAAATGAGTTTCTCGCATAAATGATAATCATGAAACAAGGTTGTATCTAAATCTTTTCTTATCCCTAAAGCCTCTCTTCTTTATTTTTATTTCTTACATGACTGCTTTTATTTATTTATTTTTTCTGGAACAGCTTTGATTTTCTTCGAAGATTGTATTATACTCTGTTTATCCTAAAGCCTTGGCGGGAGCCGTGGATGAAAGGCTTGTTTTGGACTTCATCAGTGGGGCAAAGCAGATGTGTAGCAATAGAATGTTTGCCAGGTCTTCCTTTCAGCACAACTTTAGGAGATGCTGCACCGTACAGATTGAATCTGTCTGTGGAATCAAGCATTTAATGTGGTAGTTTGAGGAATTAATGAGGTGGATTGAGGAATTGCGTCTTGATGGGAAGCTACAAATTTTTGTTGTGGGGCAGTTAGGTATTTTAAGCTGATCTCAATAATATTTGCGGCATAAACGCTGTTTGTGTAAGAACTGCTTTGTGTTGAGTGGTGTTTTGTGGTCTGTCTCTTTTCAGAAATGCCATGGCTGACACTCTGAGGCTGATCAGTGGAGCTCAGCATCCTGGCCCTGCGGCGGGAGTCTACGAAACAACACAGCATTTCAATGACATCAAAGAACACCTTCACGTAGTGAAAAGGGACATTGAGCATCTAGTGCAACGAAATATGGTAATTTATGTGCTGATAGAGTAAGGCATGACTGTAATACTTCTTTATTTGGCTGTTAGTAAAAAGCTGGGATGAGCCAGCATGCAATTTACAGAGCAATTAATCCTTCATTAAGCTGCTTTGCTAAAACTGCGCTGCCCTGACCCAACTGTATGATCTGTGTCTCGATGAGAAGTTTTGCACAAAGAACAGGATTTTTACTCTAATTCCTGTGGAAACAAGGTCATGCAATTAGTTTTTCTAGGTGCTTTTTTGGGTTTGCAGCTGTGTGCAGAGGAGACTTCTGAACTTAGTCACAGGAGGGGGAGGCTTAATCAGGGAGAACTTAGGCAAACGCTGCTTAAGGTCTCTAAGTGTGAAAGATGACAGTGTTAGCATTCAGGAGCACCTTTAGTCTTGCTTAGGTAACAATTAAGCTGAATTAGCTTGTGATCCCATGCAAGCTTTTTAATTTCTGCAATAATTTACTAAAACTTACTCTTTCCCCTCTGACCTCAGATTAGTGTTACTCAGCTTGCTCTCAGAGTGGCTGTCATTTTTGTCTGTGTTTTTCTGTTTGTGTTTTAATTTCTAGATCATGTTACAGAGGCCTTGTTTTGTATCTTATTTAACAGTCTATTAGTGGTGTATCCTGTTTACTCTTTTCTCAGCTGCTGCTTCTCTTGTCTTTTTAGCCATCTAATGAGAAACCAAAATGTCCAGATTTGCCACCATTTCCATCGTGCTTATCTACAATGCACTTCTTCATCTTTGTAGCAGTGCAAACAGTGTTATTCGTTGCTTATATCATGTATAGGTAAGTATGTATTTTTTTTAAAGCCATCAGGCAAGTAATTTTAGAACTTCTGAGGTGAAATGGAATTGCAGTGATATGAGCAGTCATTCAGATTGGAGGAGACTTGGGAGGTCTTTAGTTCAGCCTTGTTCTCAGAGCAGCGTTAGCACTGAATTCACACCAGGTCATTTAAGGTTTTCACTGATCAGATCTTTCAAAACCTCAAACTCACTGGTCTTCTGGGATCCCTTTTCCCGTGTTTCATTAGCGTAATGAGGCTTACTTTGTTTCCCTCCTCCTTGTATATCTAGTGGAAACCTTCCTTGCTTCCTTTTGTCTCTCTGTCTGATGATATGTATCTCCCTAAAAAAGCTCAGTTTCTTTAACACTTTCCAGTGTGTCAAGGCCTCTTGAGGCTGCTTTTGTCCAGCATGAAGTCCCGTTCCCCTGGCCTCTGCTCCCCAGTCCACCTGAGGCCTGCATTTCGGCCCCTGACCATTCCTGTGGTCCTCTATTGGATTTACTGAAGTTCATTAATATCTTAACAAGATCTGATGTCATCTGAGTTTGTACTGCATGTATCTACCAGCTCTGACAAAACTGACAAATGCCTCCGTCAACTTTTTCTTAATGATATTAATTATAAAGGGTCATTGATCGTTGATGGAGTTCTGAGTGTCATGTAGGGTTTTTGTGTGTGTTTGTTTTCAAATTGGAATGTTTGCTCTTCTCTCTTCTTCCTCCCTGTGATGCTGTAATGTTTAAATTAAACACTGATGAAAAAGAAAACACGTGGAGTGTAAGGACATGTTTGGCTGTCCTCTCCTGTTTCTCTGCTGCATACTCCTATCAAGATGAATGGACCGAGATAGTTGCAGTATTCTTCAAAGAGAAAATGCAGTTTGCTGTCTCTGTGGAAGGATAACTGCTATTAATATGATACTAACATAGCTGGTGGCATTTTTGTTTGTGTGTCTGCTTCTCCACAAAGTGGAGGGAGTACATTTTTTATGTATGTCACGTTCTGCCATCAACGTGGCATCAAGATAGCTTCCCAGATTAAATGAGCAAATCTCCTTCAGTTCTTCTTGATGCTCTGTAATTCTAGCTTTTGTGCATGATAGATCCACTGCCTCCATATCCACTGAGAAAAACAAGAATGTTCTGTGTCAGAGGGAAAAGGAAGACCCATTTCAAGCAAGCTCATTAATCACTTCTTAATTGCACGTTTCCTTTCCTGTCAGGCAAAGGAAAATCAGATGTTGAGAAGCTTTAGAGAATTTATTTTTAAGATCCATACACAGTTTGTTTTCTACCCAGAATTTGTTTCTGTCTGTGATGCAGAATTGGAACTGTATAGAGGAAATTTCTACTTTCTACTATATGACTTAAGATATGAGTTTTTTACTCAACTCTTGGAAAGGGGAGATAATGGCAGGACAAGGGCAAATGGTTTGAAGATGAGGAAGGGAAGATTGAGGCTGGATGTCAGGGGAAGTTCTTTGCTATGAGAGTGGTGAGGTGCTGGAACAGCTGCCCAGAGAGGCTGTGATGCCCCGTCCATCCCTGGAGGTGTTCAAGGCCAGGTTGGATGGGGCCCTGGGCAGCCTGGGCTGCTATGAAATGTGGAGGTTGGTGGCCCTGCGTGTGGCAGGGGGTTGGAGATTCGTGATCCTTGAGGTCCCTTCCAACCCTGGCCATTCTGTGATTCTGTGACTTGTACTCCATTTCCCTAAGCTTCCGTTGAGGAGGAATACTTTTAATCCTAAAACAAAATGAATATTTGTTTAAACCTGGTAGCTAGTTGGTTTTTTTTGTTTCTTTTTCTACATGCTTAATGAATATTTTTCTGATTTTTCTTTCAGGAGTCAACAGGAAGCAGCAGCCAAAAAGTTCTTTTGATGACCTCTTCCTTTTGTGTGTACATAACAGCAGTATGTATGCACAGAAAACCATGCAATTCTGTACATGAGGGAAAATTTAGTGTTTGATGTACTTCAGGACTGTGAATTACGTAATTTTGTCAAACAAAACGTGTTCTTATTTAGGCTGTTAATTCTAGAATTAAAACAGACCTGGGAGCAGCAGAGCGAATGCTAGGCAGGGGGAGACTACAAGTCCTAGCTAGGTCTCTGTTTTCAATGAGATTTCTGATCAGTGCTGGAAGGCAAACACTGAATTCCTCCTGTTTTGTCAGAATTTCAGCGGAGGGATTTGAAAGACCCCTGTTAGGTGGCTGTTGATGATGAGACCTGTGCGGAAATCTTGCCACTGAGAATCCGTATCAGATTAGGAAAATTACAAACAATAAAACCACTGCTCTCTAAAACCCTCCAAAACCAAAACAAGGCAAAATGAAAAACAAAACAACAAAAACAAACAAAACCCACTAAAATTGCTCTTTTCTGCTTTGTTTTTCTTTTTTTTCTAGTGAAAATTTGTTATAAACATTTCATTTTTTTTTATTATTTGGATCTAATAGCTCAAGAATGATTTTTGGAAATTTAGCTTTTCGTCAGGTATAGAGTTTAAGTTCTCTGTAGTGCATGGACACAAAGAGGCCTTTTGCAGGCTAGTAATACCTGGAATAGAATGCAGGCTGCATGGGACAGGCTAACAGATGTTTGTCTCCTTATTCTGGGTTCTGTTCTTAGGCAGTGAGAGAAAACATACTGTAGTTTCTTCTGGTGTATTGAAAGATTTTTTTGTAGTTTCAGGTCTGTCTAATTTTAGAAAATTTTGGAACATTTTTAGGAAGGGTGCCATAGTTTGATACCTCTTCCAATCTGAATTTGTTAAGGGTGTGTTTAATTGATGAATATGCCTTTATTGTTATAAAGCTGTCTCGTGTCTTTCGTGTATCGAATACAGATGCTTTGATTTAAATGCTGACCTGGCAAGTATTCTGAACTACACATGCTGACTGTGAAAGGGTTTCTTCACAAGCTGTTGATTCAGGCATGTTTGTTAGCCCAGCAGCTATTGCAGAAGCAGTATTGTGTGTCAGTTCCCAGTTTAATACCAAGAGCATAAGGCTGGTCACATGTTGTTGATATCATTAGATGAACGCTTTGCTTCAGGAGTGAAACAAATGAGAAAGCTCAAACTAGAATCGTGAAATGAATTTGTTTTGACATGTTTACTTACCTGTGGTAACTCTGTCATTGAGTTATGTGCAGAATGATGATATTTCTGTGTTTTCTTTCCTTCCAATTCTGTGAAAACACACAGATGTGTCTGGATGTTTCACTTCTAAACAATGAGTCTGTCTGAAAATCTGCAAAATGTGTCTGTAATCTAGCATGATGCTCCTGCAGTTCCACAGTCTGTTCTCTTGGAGTGCAGTGCTTGCTGCCAAATTCACTGTAATGAAGAACACTCTAGCATTGTGCCTGACAATTTGAAGACGTGATAAATCTATGCAATATGTTTTGTTACCAAAACAGAGCTCCAGAAGTGGGTGTTCGTGCTGTACCAATAAATGGATACTACCTGCACACCTATTGATGTACTTACAGTATGTAGCATGCTGTAAATGATAGAGCTTTATACATTCACTTCCAAATTTGAGACTTTGCTGTACTAATTGGAGAAACTACTGCTTCAGGCTCATCTTGCTGGATAAGCAGGACACGTCAATGAAAGAACCTTTTCAGAGAACCCAGAACAGCACAGGAATTTATCCGTTCAGTTCTAACACCAGCAAATATTTACAGGTGCCTTGAGTCTAAGCAATTACAACTGGATATATTTTCTTAAATTGCTCTGAGAACAGTGTTGTTCGTGTCAATTGCTAGCTTTCCTGCACAGTGCAACACCTCAGTGAGCTCCCTCTCTGAATACAGGCTTTGCAAGGCAGGAAGGCTAACAAGCGTATTCTGAAAAGTCAGGTGTGTCCATCTGGCATGATGAGGAACAGCTCCAATGTGTCAGTTGGAGGAAGCCTGCATTTCTTGTTACTGTGAATTTCTCCAATTACAACTTTGTTTCAAAGCTGGACAAAACAACAATGCTGTTGTCTTTTCTTGTAAAAAAAAATAAAAAAAATTGGGGATAGAGGCTAGCAACATACTTGAACCTACAATTGTATCCTCAGTATGGGGCTCAGCTTGTGCGTTGATGCTGCTAGTAGATCTGACCTGTGTCTGTGTGCATCTGGGGATCATTTGTGTTAGTGAGCAGAGGGTATGAAGTGCACCATCCTAAAAGTGATAACTTTGCTTCATTTCACAGTCTTCGCTCCCTGGAACATCAGTAATTGCCTCGCCACTCACTGGATCAAAGGAAAACTCCCAGTTACCCAGCCCAAACCCTGTCCCACCTGAGGTGATAGCAACAAATTCGGACTTTTGAGGATATCTGTCAGTCAGTATGGCCTCTCTTTGTGGTGGGCTACTAGAATTTTCTTTCAACACTGATATAGGGCGTTTCATTTTGTCAAGTGAAATTTCGGGACTTGCAGATGAAGGCAACTTGGAATCCAATATGTTTGACAATATGGAGGAGACCAAGAAAATAACAGTATTTGAGGTAGCAAATATTTGGCAGTGTCAAGGGGATCTCATTGTCTTAAAGCTTATTAAATAAACGGTCGTAATGGAATCTCTCTAGCAAATTTCAGTCATTTGTGAATTACTTTGTTGGTTGATTGGAGAAAATGACATCAGTACATCGATTACTGTAACACTGACAACTTTCTACTGTTTGAAAAACATAACACACAGCTGACATTTCCTGTTATTTGTTTCTGACTGATGTAAACAGAGGGTGGGACTTCAGAGATAACCTTATTTGAATAAAGATGCATATTTTTAATAAACTTCTTTCTTGTAATCTCTTACGTGTCACTGAGGTCCAGGGGAGCATTCAAGGGAGCTTCATGGTCTCAGCTCAGCCCTGCCTGACGCTGGGTGTTTAAGGTCAAGTGAAGAGCAACGTGCCAGCTTGGAGGTTTCTTAGCAGTGAATTAAGTGACTTGCTGGCTGCTTTGATTAAACAAACGACCTAATTGTTCTGGGCTGAAGGTTGCACATATGCCTGTAGCTCTTCCTCCAGGTTCCCTAACTGCCCTCGTCTTGGTGCTCTGCTCTGGTTTTTTGGGGTACAACAGCCCAAAACAAGTTAGCCAGTCTCCTCAATCAGCTTTCATGGTTTGTGCGTGATGTCTCACGTTTTGTTTTGTTTATCCTGTCCTATCCAGTAACTGTTTGCTGTAACCTGCAAGAATGTGAGCAATCTCATTTGCCACCAGCTTTCCTCAACCAGGAGCAAACTGATACACAGATGTATCTCTAAGTGAAGCTCTTCAAGCTGAGAAAGACTCAGAGATCCCATTTATCTCTTTATAGGTGACCTTGTGTTCAGACTGCTGCATGAAAGGCAGCATTCTGGAGGAATGAAGAGGACCATTCAGAGATGCACGGATACATCTGAGCTGTGTGGTCAGAGTTGTCTGCTTCTGCTGTTTTGGGAGCACAGTCTCTTGTTCGGATGCTTGCACATCTATAGTGGTTTTGTGTGTCTTTCCCACAGGCCTTTGGACTTTGATTTGCTTGTTTCAGGACTCCTGAGTCTATTCTGATGCTGGAGATGCCTCTGTTCTTTGGATGTACAAATCAGGGGCTTTTTTCTTTAAAAAAAAAAAGCTCATCTCCACCAGGTAACACAGGAACAGAGCCTTTAGTCTTGATTGAATTTAAACTGAAAGTAAAGGGCGTTGATTTAAAGCTGAGACAGTAGCAACACCAGCACTTACAAGCACCTGGCTGTAAGCTTTTGTTAAGTCAGTGATCCGTGTAAACAGCAAGATACAGTCATTGCTTTATAACTTCAATACCTTCCACAACACTTCCGTCTTCAGTTTCAAATCTAACGTTAAAATGCCTGTTCTCAAGTTCACGGGGCCCATTTACACGCAGTCCTGAAAGCACATAATGAGCTTCAAAATCGATTTTGATTAAAACAAAGGAAGTACTTGTTATCTGCAGTCTATCAAAGTAATTTTGTTGTGATTCGGAGTTCTTGTTGCCGTGATAACTCCATCTGAAAAATGGATCCCAAGTTTCTCGTTTAATCATTAATAATCCAGGATTACAGAAGGTCCTGTTTATTTTTTTTATCTTTTTTTTTTTTTTTTTTTTTCATTTTTAAATAGTAACAGGGCTGCTTTAATTAGAAAGGCTCTAATGCAGATTAAGGCATTAGGCAGACTGGAATCCTCCCATCTCAGTGAAATTACGAGAGTGCTGAGAGAACCATTTAGATAATCAAGACTACAGAATATTCCATTAAGCCATGTGCAGCCAGGCACAGTAAAGCAAACATTCGAAACCCCAAATCATGAACTTCTAGCAGGTGATGTTCTTTTCCCCAGGTGATCTATGGTGCAGCTAGCAGATCCTGCAAACTTTCACCAGAACAGAGCCATGGTGTAAGCAGAACTGGGAAAGATGAGGAGGCTGCACAGAGAATCCACATGAAGGATGCGTTGTAGCTCAGATTCATTTCTCCTTTACTGAGAGTTAAGATCCAAACCAACAGGTATCGTGGGCAGCACCGGTCATGGTGCAGGATGGGGAAAAGTGGAATGAACCAGCACAAAGCAGGAAGGTGTCGTTTGGTTTTGATCAGGATTTATTTCAGGTCCTGGGGATGTCTTGGTCCTTGGGAAAGTGAGAGTTCTAAATGGAAGAAGTCAAAGTGCAATTGCACACTCTTCTTTTTTCAACTGTAATTAGCTTAAGGTATTAATATAAAAAGTAGGTAGCTGCATCTAATGATTTCTGTGTGTGTGTGCGTGTAATCTGAACCATCTGCCTCTAGATATTAAGGAGTTCACTCTTTAATCCAGATTATGGCTGACAAACTGGTTTTGGCATTCACGTTTCACTAGCACTGTGCCCCTGAGGAGCTGCCGTGGCTGTAGAAACTCTCCTGCTTGCGACTGTTGATTTTGGAAATTACTCTTCTGTTTGTTGGTTGGTTTTGGCTTTCCCGTGGTGGTTTGCTCGTAGCTCCTTTCTTCTTAAGGATGGCCTTCCTGATGAAAAGCATGCTGAGCAACCAGGTGAAGAATCTGGGGCTTGGAGGTGGAGGAGAAGAAAGCAAAGAAGAAAGCACTCCTTCTGACCCAGCAGCTGCTGCAGGAATGACCAGAGAGGAGTATGAGGAGTACCAAAAGCAAATGGTTGAGGAGAAGTGAGTACCAGTTCCCTTATCAGCAGCATGGGGCTGCGTCTTTGTGACCTTGGGCAGGTAGAGAGATCCCAAGAGGAAACCCAAACGTCAGCTCTCCCCTCCACCGCTGTTTTAAATAGGGCAATCTTTGCTAGAGGCTTCCCAAACAGCAGCTCACCAACTGCAGATGGTAAAATGCTGTGTTTGCCCTTTCCCCCCCCATTCTCTGACTCTCCCTCTCTCCTCTGCTCCCTCTGCCCTCTCCTCAGCTGGATCCAATCCGAACAGAGGTTGTTTCATCAACCACATTTTCCCATAGGTGTGAGGATGGTTGTGGTGCAGGAATGAATTCTCACAGGGCATGATTTGTTCTCCTGCAACTCTGTGCAGAGTAAACTTCTCTTTATCCATGTTGATCGTGGCAGATGTAGAAAAAGTAATGCGTGCTGTGCCACAAGGGTGATGTTGACCTAGAGGAAAGTTGTTAAATGGTTTCTTTCTATTGCTGCACTTTTCATTACTTTTTGTAAATTCAGCTTAAATCGATCAGCCCTTCACAACTGGTTAAATTCCACAAATGTTATTTATTTTTCTGTATGAAAACGGGAGTAAATCAGAGGACTTTTAGCATGTGGGAGTTCAAATCGTGCATAATTATGGAGAAAACAATTGACTTTTAAATCTGAGATGCATCTGTTCTTCTAATGATCAATTACATAATGATTGTGTAAATCCTCTGTGTAAGACGATTATAGGTGAAAGGTTAATGACCGGTGGAATCTGAGGTATCCAGGTCTGTATTTAGCAGCAGCCCTTTCTATCATATCACCTCAAACAGGTATCAGTTGATCTGGAATAAAATACAGGATATTTTGCTTCACATTTTTGTCATCAGCTGCGGGTGGAAGGGCTCTCTGCTGAGGCTGGAGAGCAAACCAGGGTCGCTGGGATGGGGAAAACTCTTGTAAAGAGTATTATTTGTACCAGAGTGGTGTGTCTTCACATACAGAAATGTGCTGAGGAGCCAGTGCAGGAGTGCTTCAGTTTGGAAGATGGGAATTACTGTCAGAAAGCAGTTTGCTGAGGACAGTCCATGCTGTGGGGTTATGTAAGAGAAGTCAGGGAGGTGACGAGCTCTGCTGGAGTCATGGCCTTTGATACACGGATGTCCTGGCGTTGGCCAGGATTCTGTGCTTTTTTGGCCTTTTGATGCATTCATTTATTTTTATAATGCAACAAAGCTCACCAGAAAGGCAGGGATTGCTGTTTCTTAGGAGAACATGCAGTTCAGAGGAGCAAACAGGTGTTTTCTGCTGGCAATCTCCAGCATTAAGGGCAAGGAGCCACCAGTTAGTGCTGCACACCTGCTCCTGGCTGTCATGCAACAGCCCCTATACCTGGCTCCTGTAGCTGCAGCACTTTGCCTCCCATAATTAAACCTTGCAGCATAACAGGACCCGGGTGATGGGGGAAGGTTGCCAAGTCTTCCAGCAACATCAGAGCAAGTGAAAAGCTCAGGTCGAGCAGAGAATCCCCCCCTTCCACTTCTCACAGGCATCACTAGAAGGGATGTGATGTCCCAGAGGGGGCATTCCCAACACTGTACGACCACTGACTGCTCCTGTGGAGGAGTGGCCGAGGAAGAGAAAGGCTGAGAACGAATGGGAAAACAGGCCACTAGCATACAAACCTTCTCTTCACAACCATCCCCCTAATTTCTGGCTGAATGATGCTTAAGTTGGCTTCCAGCTAATGAGAACCGGAAAGGAAAAAAATCCAAAAACTCATTTGCAAAAGGGGAGGGAAAATAAATAACATTTCATCTTGCAAGTAGTTTGGATGTTGGCTGGAGCACAACAAATTTTTGGCTGAAGATTCCTATGAAAAAGGAAGGGGGGGAGAAGGTGGGGGAGAAGAACATTCAACATCACCTCACAGAATGGCCAGGGTTGGAAGGGACCTCAAGGATCACAAAGCTCCAACCCCCTGCCACACGCAGGGCCACCAACCTCCACATTTCATAGCAGCCCAGGCTGCCCAGGGCCCCATCCAACCTGGCCTTGAACACCTCCAGGGATGGACGGGGCATCACAGCCTTTCTGGGCAGCTGTTCCAGCACCTCACCACTCTCATAGCAAAGAACTTCCCCTGACATCCAATCCAAACCTCCCCTCCTTAAGCTTAAAACCATTCCCCCGTGTCCTATCACTATCTACCCTTTCCAAGAGTTGATTCCCCTCCTGCTTATAACAATTTTTAAAAACAGAAAGTACACGTCATCAGATATCTTTGAACACATACAGTGTGCAAATAGATATAAGTGATCTAAGCAAGAATCTCACATTCAATGAGTGCATTTTATAAAATTGCAGCTAGAGGAAGCTCTTTTCCATAGAGGAGAAACTGGCATGTGCAGTGATAGGGAGTTCTGGGGCAATGAATGGGTTCAGAAGAGACTGGGAGGAGTTGGAGCTGGCAGAGGGCACCCAGGGCTGTTGACGATGTAGGGACAATTTCCAGCTCCAGCAATTCCTCAGCTACTGATTTTGGGATTAAAGCCCCCGACATCACTTTGTTGTTATCACTTCTTTTGTGCCTTTGGGCAAGTTAGATAACCTTAGGGGGAACTGCTGCACCCAACCT